CCCTCACATTATGAGTAATTGGGTCTATCTGACACCTACGGTGGCATCAGCAGTTATCTCTCCCCAAGATCAATCCGAACAGTTATGCAATAGCGTTCACCTAATCGATTATTTGGGATGTGTAGTCATGCGCTTCAACTTTGCCAGCGTTAAAGCAAATGAGAGAACTACATCTCCCGGCAGGCTTAGCGGCACATTGCTTCACTAGTTACACATTGAATGTAGTTCGCTGTACTTGGAAATCCGTTCATGATTCAGTTCATTAATAAATAAATAGTTGAGTGTCATGGCGGAATCCGCAGCGTGTCCTGCATTCCAGCTCGGGAGACCCCGATACGACCAGGTAAGCCCCCCTCTATCCTCCGCTAACCATCCGTTAATGGGATTTTGTTTTCAGGCTTTTCGGTGGAAAACAGCTCCATCCTCCGCCCTGCAGCCGCTCCGGATGCTGAGGCAGTTTGTGGGCACAAAGTTGGCTTTGATTTGTGATCCGATTCTTCGTTGCCTTTATTTAAACCGCAGTAACTTCCAGCTGCTGGTGAACTTGGTTGAGATGGATGAGTTTTGACTTTATTGCAGTTTTCATAGTGGAAATGATTTCTCGTCGGCAGTGCCATATCAGTGTTTTATGAGAGTCCACGCCTCTTCGACGCACGGTTATATCACTGCTCGGATCTGCAGTCAACACACTGACAGCTCGCTGTCGTTTTCTCTCAAACCTTCACGATAATTGGCTGTCTGAGTTTTTCACTTTTAATCTAGGCGTCAAAATCTGTCGGAACATCTTGTACAATAATCCAGTCCCATCAAACTTCTTTTTTTACCCCCAGGATGCTTCCTGCAGACTGCTGTTGCTCCCACTTTGTTTCAGGTTTCTGGACTTCCACCAATGTCTGAAGCTCATTACTGAATTTTCCCTCCGTTAATTCATTTGCAGCGGTCAGGCTGATGGTCAGGCTGACAGATAATGTGTCCTTCACGTTGACTCCGATGGCAGCTGAGGACAAGTTAAACTCGCATCTAATTATTCTGTGGTCATTCCCATTTAATGAACAGCAGTATTAAGGGAGGTATTTACGCTATAATGTCAATGCACAGAGTAAAGTCTTCATGCGTGGAGTGTAAATTAAAGTCACACTAAACTGCTTTAAATCTGATGTTCTCTCAACTCACATGAGGGACCAATACAGTTATTATTATGACAGCAGAAAAAAATATAGGAAAATGTGCAAAAATATTCCCACAACTACTGAAGTGTTTTTGGGTCAAGTTCATTTGATGTGACAGATCTTTACTGAAGAAATGCACAAAGAGACAGAAATCATTCAAATATTATTCAGATATTATTTTATTATTCCATTCTGTTTCTTAACTTGTTATTCAGTTTAACCAAGAGGCGCTGTGTTTGCAGGAGTGACCTAACCTGGAGTGTTTGTCAGTACAGGAGCGGGCGCTCTCTGACAAACACGAGGGGAACAAACTCCACACCCAGGGGCCCTAAAACCAGGTTTAACCCCAGGACCCTCTTTCAGTAGTTCAGAAGTGCTAACCAGTGGAGCCCCCGTGCTACTTAAAGAGCAAATTGCTGCAAAAAGTGTAACGCCCCCCCCCCAAAAAAAAGAAAACCCTGCAAAAATGACCACAAAAAGATATAAAGCAGCAAGTAAGAGTTACAAAAGGATAAGGAAGGGATGCAGCATTACACAAACTACGGTGAGATGTAAAACAACACAAAGAGACACAAGATGACGTCAAAGACACAAAAAGACCAAA